GCAGTGACTCTCGAAGAATGTAGTGATACTGATGATAAATAGATGAATAAATCAATAGCAACCAAGAACGGGGCATGTTTTGAAACATTTGCTTCATGGGTGAATTGAACAAAGGCCATCCCAACCATTATGAATCAACTGGAGTGTGATTAAATCGTCCCCAATTGGGGACCGCTGCTGTATTTTTTTATCACATCTTCTGCACTGAAAAATATGCAGATGCCGGCGAAATCACTGATATCCATTCAGCTGCTGCTACATTTGCTACATCATTCTATATACATCTTCTTAGTCGGAGCATATGAGCAACCAAGCACTGTTGAAATGCTCCAAGTACACTGTCTTTGGCTGGTTAACAACCCATCCCAAAACATCCAAACTAATGCTCATGGGTTTGGGCTGGACAATCCTCCAACTGTCTCTACTTGTTGCTGGTACAGGATCTTTATATACAAACATGACATCCCCACAATCCATGATAGGCGCTTGGAACAATTTTTTGGGTGCCCCCAGGGCAAATGCAAATTATATATATAGACGATACAATTAGACAAGCAACAGCAAAAAACACAATCAAGGATCGCGCTTGTTGGAACATGTTTATTTATAGATGATCTATGATTATCTCTACTAAGAATTTGATGTTCACTGATTCTCCATAGCTATGTTATATAAATAACCAGAGGGTAATATCCAATAAAATCCCCATGGAAATCACCATGGAAATTACCATGCAATCCCATATTAAATCCCATATTAAATCCCATACGCAGATGGTACCGTTGACCCATAGCAACTTCAAGCCTTGGGCTTCTCTTTGGTTTCTTCCTTGATCTCCTCCGTGGCTTCCTCCCTAGGCGATCCGATACCAAATTCGACCGAGAAATCATGACAATTCATAACCACTAGATTCTTTACAGCCATTTTCTATTTTTAACATACCATAACATCATTATCAATTATTATTGTCAATTATCTGGTTGGTGGTATACCTACCCCTCTGAAAAATATGAGTTCGTCAGTTGGGATGATGACATTCCCAATATATAGAAAACATAAAAATGTTCCAAACCACCAACCAGCACAAAGTCACCAACCTGAGGCCGTTTGGGGATTATTCATGGATATGTTCCACATATCCTTTGGTTATTATTGCCAATTATTTGATAATATCCATTAATAATCCATTAATAATCCCCAAAATTTTCCAATTAATTATCAATAAATATCAATTATTGATCCATTTATGACCCACCATTGTAGACCCGATCGACGTTCGCTCACCGCTGAGATCTCAACCTTTTTGCAGCTCCTGATGGCGACCCCCGTGATCTGATCGTCTGAGCTATTACCCGGTCTGGTAATGACGAACAGTTTGCTATTGAAAATGGCCATAGAAATAGTAGGTTTTCCCATTAAACATGGTGATTTTCCGTGGCTATGTGAAAGTTTACCAGATGGTATTACTCTCGAAGACGAAATTCACACTTATATCGAAAAAACGCCATTTCCATATATATCATATTTTTATTGGAAGAACAAACACAACGAGTTTTTCGCAAGATTAATTTACAGAAATGATCACACATGGAGGTTTCAATGCGAAACATAGCAACAAACTGGTGGATGTTCCATTGCCATCTTTGACTTTACTGTAAAACAGTAGGGTTTTACTGTATATATTTGATTTTCCTGGATCCATGTATGGTATATATGCTAACATTTGGTGTATATTGATGGTAAATGTTACCATATATAGCATACATGGATCCTATGGGTATATATATATATATCTATCTATCTATCTTTGATTTACTGATTTACTGTATATATATATATATATTCTGCATGATTCTGGCATCTGAATGTCGTGCCACAACGAGTTTTCCCCAAAGGAAGACTTTTTGACACTGGGCGCCTCCATCGCCCAGTGTTTCCGCTTCCAGTGCTTCCACCTCAGGGATGAAATACGATTCGTTGGGTATATTTGTTCATTATTGGGTATGGTTATATATGGCTATATAACATATATAAACATCATAGCTATATTTTCTGGGTATATATGATAATTATAACTGTTATGATTAGATAGTTATATAGTTATATAAACATCATAACTTATATTAATAACCATTTATGTTCTGGGTATATATGATGATCAATAATCAAAAACAAGAAACATCATGTTGATGGATTATGTTGCTAAAAAATATCTTAATATAATTTGTTATATTATGGTATATAAATGATCACGTGTAAAAATAATCATCTATATACAACTACATGTATAGAGGTGTCCTAAAAGAGAGGTACACCTGAATCATCCACATATATATATATATATCCATATGATTTTCGGGATTCTCCATGAGAAACCATCCAGCTATTGGGGTACCCTCCATGACAGTTGGAAACCTCCATGACTCGTGTGTCACCTCCGCGTTCTCGTCCTCTTTGGGATGAAGGCTTGCCAAAGGCCTCAAGGCGACTGTTGATTTTTTGATGGTGTGTTGCCTGGTGTCTGGTTCTATAAGTAGTTCTATAATATGGTATATCCGATAGTATATCCATCTTTCAGTATAACAATAATATATAATATCAATGTTGTATCAATGTTATATCAATAGACCATATTGTATATCAACATAGTTCTATATGTAATGTATCAATTCTCAATGTTGTTATTATCAATATTGTCCATTGCCTGTATAATTCTCTATGTTGTCTATCACTTACTGTATAGACAAACAATATTGGTTATAATATGTTATAATATGTGGTAATAACCACACTGTATGTTTGTATGTTTGTACGCACGTATGTATCTATGTATCTATGTATCAATGTATCTATGTATCTATATATCTATGTATCTATGTATGTATGTATCTAAGTATCTATGTATGTACGTATCTAAGTATCTATGTATGTATCTAAGTATCTAAGTATCTAAGTATCTAAGTATCTAAGTATCTATGTATGTATGTATGTATGTATGTACGTGTGTACGTATGTACGTATGTACGTATGTACGTATGTACGTATGTACGTATGTACGTATGTACGTATGTAAGTATGTAAGTATGTAGGTATGTAGGTATGTAGGTATGTAGGTATGTAGGTATGTAGGTATGTAGGTATGTAGGTATGTAGGTATGTAGGTATGTAGGTATGTAGTTATGTAGGTATGTAGGTATGTAGGTATGTAGGTATGTAGGTATGTAGGTATGTAGGTATGTAGGTATGTAGGTATGTAGGTATGTAGGTATGTAGGTAGTATATGTATGTATGGTATGGGGTGTAGGTATGGTATGTGGTATGTATGTATAGGTATATGTAGGTTTGTAGGTATGTAGGTATGTAGGTATGTAGGTATGTAGGTATGTAGGTATGTAGGTATGTAGGTATGTAGGTATGTAGGTATGTATGTATGTATGTATGCATGTATGTATGTATGTATATACAAAAATTATACTAAATGTATACTTCTATATACAGTAGGTATATGTGTCTACTATTCCAATGTATGAGTATTTTTTGCAAATATGTGTATATACTATTTAATAAATATATGAATACACATATTATATATATATATGAATATATGTATCTATAGAAACACAAAAGAATATGACTATGAATATATTATATAACTATATGTAATATAGACTATATAGAATTATATAGAATATATACAGTATGTACATATGAAATATATATATATATATCGGAATATGAATGGAATATGTATGTTTAGATGCTAGGGACACTCTCCTTTCCAATCAGGAACTTCCAGTGGATCTACCCGCGCTCACGTCATCCTTTGAGCTTCCCTGCTCACCATCGAAGACACGAATCCTTGCTGTGACCAAGTGCTATTTGTGGGATAAAACGATCCACAAGACGTCCAATTCAATGGGATTTTAATGGGAGTTAACGGGATTTAATGGGATTTTAATGGGATTTAATAGTGATATCAAGGTGATACAATATTGGTGATACAATGACTTTTAGAGTGCGGGACGTTGTGGGTCCCCAGTTTTTACGTCATTTTTAGCTGTTTTTTGTTATTTTTAATGCATTTATTTTATTTCTTCAAATAAATTCTTACTGATTAAGTATGGTTCTAGATATGACAAAGTTTATTCTAAGTTCATCAAGTTAAGACATAATATGAACATTTTTATTAAAATTATATACTGCGGCACATACCCTAAATCGCATTTGAATTCAAATAATGACGAAACAAAATCTATGCTACATATTGGGGATGCCAAAGCAAAGGAGTGTCAAAGGAAAGGGATCTCAAAGCCAATGGTATGTCACTGCAATGGGATGGCAGAGCAATATAGAGAATGCTACTCGATAGAGTGGAGGCCAGTGCGATAGAAGTGGAGATATGACAGTGCCTTAGAGAATCAAATATGATATGGTTGCAGGAGTCTTGAAAGGAAGATCACGAAAAGAAAGATTTGCTGAACACCAGCTGCAAGCCACCTGATGAAACAAAGGCCAAGAAAAAGAGGACCAAGGCATGAAGGTTCAGAAAGTACCAAATGGAAAGAAGAAATTTCGTACCCAGACTCCGAAACGTTAATGTCAATCTATGTTTTTTTCCGGTGCTTCATTTTGCTTCTCTGATTTATGGAAATCCATTATTTGGATGTTACAAGGGGTTGCGTCTTAGCAGTTCTAGGTTATACATATTTAAACAATATGTGTATTCACATGGACAATTTCTTGTATGGCGTGTTGCAATCTATTGCTGATTATGGCATTGAGACGTGGAAGATTTCATGAGCAAGCAGTAACGATTCAGTGCGTGCATCTTCTCTTTTTTGTCCGACGAGCGAGACAGCTGTGAGAGATTTTGAAGCGGAACCGCTCTGGCACCTTTGATTTGATGCATTGCACCAACGAATGACGGAATTGCAAAATGATGGCGGAAGAGTTTGGGTTTGGGAAGATGTTGGAAATATCTTCTAGTCCACATCATCAAATCATTTCTGTGCGGGTCTCTTCAAGACGGCTTGCTTCTTGACCCTACACTTATATTTGCGGCTGGCTGGCTTCTGCAGCACGCCGGCTCGCTTCAAAGTGGACTTACGGGCAGACCAAGGATTGAGGTGCTGCATGTCATCTAATTTTTGCAAATGATTGTGTCGACGCGAGTAAGCCAACACATAGAATCTTTGGTGTTTCGCGTTCATGGAGTTGAATGTGGAGCTGTACCCACGGAACCACGAAAACACCTGTTCAGAAATCGATGTGTTGACTCTTTTCAGTCGCTTATCGATTGCTGGCACCACAGACGGGGAACATTTACATTTGTTGCAATGTCCCTTTGCGTGGAATTTGTCTACACACCAGAACTTGACAGGCTTCAAATCCTGTGTGTTCTTAGCCTTCTTGAAGATGCTACAGGCTCGATCGTAGAGTACTGCATCCACTTTGGGATAATGCGGTAGCAAATTTTGCACAAGATTGAGCGCAACATCCGAATTCTCTGGATCTTTCATCTCAAAAAGGCCTAGGATGACTCCGGTCCCAGGGTGTGTCGCCATGAACCAGCCGTTGTAGAACAATTTGACATGGCCATCCTTCCGAGGACGACCACCGCGAGCTGGTGCTTCATGATAGCACTTTGTGGCGATCTTCTCGTGGCCATCGACAGCGATCTCTTTGACAGACTGCGACATGCGATGGGGAGTTTCGATGGTTTGCCACCATCGGTGGAAGTCCCGAAGATGCCCTTCATGCACAGGATCATCTACGCGAATTGTGCGAAGTTTCTGAATGGAAGTGCTTGGCATAGTGGATTTCCACATGACCGACAGTTCGCTCATGACATTCCAGAGAAGACCTTGTTTGTAATGCTGCAGAACAATGCATATATATTCCTACATATTGATTGTTTCATCATGACAGACTCGTTCCAAACACAGTGGAGAAACTGATAATATACACATAGGGCTACCAATAGTATTAAGTAATTGCTCAACAGAAAACAATAATGATATATATATATATATGAATATTCTCTTACATACATATACGAAAATTAAATATATATATATATATATGTACTGCATCAGACTGGTTAATAGATTGAAGCATTTTTTTTCATCCATACCAAGAGACGAGCCAATGCATAGTCCTTGTGAAATCGAGCATGTGCATGGTCATCTGCCCATAATGCGTTCGTTTGGGACCAGGCGATGGCGTGATTGCTCAAGTAGCCTCTGAATTGCAGGGCATCGTGATAAGCAAGGAAGGAGACGTGGAACCCGGTGTTGGCGGTCACGAAGATATACTCGGCCTGGTTGGGATCGAGCGAATTGGTCTTGATGCCGTTGCTCCACACGAAGTTGTAGTAGTGGGAGGCTTGGCATGACTTCTGTCCACATCGCATAGGCTGGTGCAGGACAGTCTCGGGACCTTCGAGTCTATAAACTGTTGCCGTAGAGAACTGTTTGCGCTTGGGATATAGACAAGAGCCACACAGAGCACAATTCTTGAGGGGTGTTTGCACGGACTACAGATTAGAAGTATCGTGAATATAATTCTATTTATTGGCGTTTTATAGATATTGTTATTTAATTTTTTTTGACCTTTTGCAGAATATGGATCGTGATCCTTATTTGGTTGAACATTCAAGTATGATTGCATGCATGATGGCCCAGGGAGCCAACTAGAGACAAATGACTTTTCTAGCAGACAAGATACCCCAGAGAGTTGCCAAGAGACAGATGCACGTGTAACGGACAAGGATGAGGCTGAAGACTCAATGGCTTAAAGAGCCTCCAAGGTACAGACGAGTGTGCAGCAAACATGATAGCCCAGAGAGTTATCTGGAGACAGACAACATTGTAATAGACAAAATAGCCCAGAGAGGCACCTAGAGACAGATGACATTGCTTGAGGCAAGATAGCCCAGAGAGCCATCCAGATTTTTTATCATCTTATTCTTCGTGTTCCCTTTATACCTGTTCTCCTTTTGTTTTCTTGTCAAGGCCATGGGATATCGAAGCAATGGAGGGGATCCCAGTCTGCTTACTATGGGGCAGAGACCAATCAAACAGAATAGGAGACAGGACAGTGTCTCCCTAGATGGGCTATCTTGGTGGCTCTAGGTGGCTCTCTGGGCCATCTTGCCTGCTACAGCCTCGTATGGTATTCTTATGGGATTTCCAGTGGGTTCTTATGGGATTTCTATGGTATGTCTATGATATTTCTATGGAATTCCTATGAGATGTCTGAGGGAAATCTATGATATTCTTATGGGATTTCTTTGTGGTACCTATACTAATTCTATGTTATATCTATGATATTTTCAGATGATTCCTCCCCTCCCCTAGCTGGGCTATCTTGGTGGCTCTAGGTGGCTCTCTGGGCCATGTTATCTGCTACAGTCTCATATGTTATTCTTATATGATTTCCACTGGGTTCTTATGGGATTTCTATGGTATGTCTACCTTGTTAGTTTATACGCCTGTCCGTTGCGTTTGCAAACACTCTTCAAAGCAAATTATCAGGACGCATCAGGTAAGCATATGAGATATCCACAGAAACAAGAAAAATAGCAAGAAACAAGAACAAGAACAGAACACAAATGTAAGAAGCTCCACGACAAGAAAAAATATATCTGGGTTTGCTCTATAGGCCGTCTTGGGAGAGGTAAAGGGGGGGGGTCAGCCCAATTTTTTTTTTTTTCGTTTGTTTTCTGTGTGGCTCTTTCTTTCCTGTGAATTAGAAATATAATCAGAGTCAGATGTTCCTCAAGTCTGCTTGTTAGTGACACTACAGATTCATAAGCATGAATTCCGTAGACGTAACATTTTTCCTAACAAAGATTCATATGTAATCTGTCACGTCGTCTGTCCAGACATGTGGAAACGTGGGAACTGAGAAACGTGGGGACTGAGAAACGTGGGGACTGAGAGCGTCCCTTTCTGGACTTTTAATGGTCATTCTTTTCATTAGACTTTGATTACAGTAAACCATCCACTTCAGTAAGGCCAGCTAGGCCAGGATTATGCAGATCAAGTCTTGGCCGCTTCGAAGGTCGCTGCCGCTTGGGACTTTCATCTTGAATCATTCATAGAATTTATAGAGAAATCGCCACAGGCTTGGGTCCAAACAACCATCGCTTAAGGGTCTAAAATCTAAAACAAAAATGTCAATCGTTTTTTTTCTGGGCAAACTGGCTCGGAGAAAAATCGTGCCCCTTTTGCCGGTGAGTTCATTTGCCAAGCTTCGTTTCCGTGTTTCGGTCAATCTCCCAACTTTCTAATTGTTGTTGGTCAGTCCCCAACTGGTGGATCCCCAAAATGGGTGTTTTAAAATGTGGTAAAGTTACTCAAAGACCAGCCATGTATCATGGTACCCCACACCTTCGACCCCCATTTCTATCATTTCTGTGACCACATCAGATGTGAAGAATTATGTGTGTTGAGTCATATTTTTGCTGGTCAATCTCGGTGCAATGTTTTCTTCAACACCATGCAAAAAGACATGGGCAACGAAGTGGTAAAACATACACGTCTCACAGAATGTGATGAACCCTAAACCGTAAATCATCTCAAATATTACGATAAATGATCGATCAAAATCATCCACGAATGGTAGTTGTGTATAAATCCCATCCCCCTAACATTAAACACCCCCTTTGTATGGTCCGAATATGTGACTTCATCCTCTACTAAACCATGGTTTATGGACGTTTATGGGCTGTGTTTGATATACGGAGGAGGGAATTACATACTGTGTGTTACCACCAGTTATTCCTATGTTTGGGATCATCCAGAATCAACCCAAGGGCATAAAGAGTCATTGGGATTTTCTGGGAAAGATACATAAATTTACAGATTCTATCATGTGGTTGAGAAGCTCATGTTTTTTTTCGCTCTTTGGCTCCTCATTCACTGGGGAGTATGGATACAATCATCGCTCCGTTCACAGCTCCTTCCAAACTAAGAGTTGGTTATTCCATGATTTTCTAGTTCTAGATCAACAGATACAATGACAAAATCATGGGGATATATGATATAGATGAGATACTTTCTGGTATATATACCCTCCTCCACATTAAAATAGACACTGCCATCAGTCGAGGGTTAGAAAATTAGTTTCCACACCGGGTCCAAATGTTAATTCACCAGAGGGCATCTTCCACTTGGGTTTGTCTGAAAAAAGTCTACCCCTAAATCCATTGGATTATCATTAGCTTCCCATAAAAATAGCCATTTGGGACATTATGGGGAAATTATGATCATCCATTAATAGCAACTTCTCCACATAATTTTCCCTGCAATCCAGAACCATTTGGTTTCTTTCCTCATAAATGTAACTGTATACCCCATTTCCGGAGCCATTTTCAAGCCAGGGTGCCAGGTGTCCAGGCTCAAAAACTTCTTTTCGAAGTCTGTCTCAGCTTGCCACTCGCGAGCCTGGCTGACCGTCAGGCGCATTGCTGTTGGTTGCTCCAATGAGGTTAGACATTGCTAATCCCAAAAAGGATAGAACAGTGAACTCCTACTAGAATAGTTGCTGGATGTTGTTGGTAAATCACATATATTCACATATGCTACAGTATCTTGTTGTTGGTTACGACTGTACACAATCCAAAGAAATGTACCAACGGATTCGTGGTAAGGGCTACCCCCATGCTGATTGTCTAGGTATTGATGCATGACAATATCTGGGTCCATGCTCACCCCTAAAACCCTAGGATGTTACTACTTTTGGGCATAGTCATAATCCGCTAGTCAAATGGAACCCCGCGACTAAACAGCCCAGGGGGGGTTATAGCAATCCAGGGCTGACATTATTCACCAAAGATTCAAAATCTTCCTAGTCCATCGATCCACAATTGCTGTATCTGATCACACCCAAAGGTAGTAGGCAAAATAAATATATTTATCACCTGTTGCACAACAGATGTACGTGAAGACACATACGAAAAAAAACACCACCTAGTTAATATACAATGTGGGTGCATCTGAAAATAGGATATACTGTGACATACCACCAAAATTGCCAGCTAAATGGAAAATATTAGAGCCATGAATCCATGGTAATCTCTTGATTTTGTTTAGGGTATACCGGTATACCACTTTTCAGACAAACAAAGACAAACCAATGATAAACCCATGTCATCTTGTTGGTGATCTGTTTGGCCTTATCGCTTATACCCCCCATGATTAGTTAAATCCATGTTGTTGGTGAGTTGTGTCCCCAGAAATATCCCCAAACTGTGAAGTTACGAATCACCTGTTCGTATACTACCTAGGAAACAACAATTTTTCTCTAGCTAGTCTTGGAATGTCTTGGATATATAGCTTGCAACAAAAAAAAATCAGGGTAAACCATCTAGGTTTGTGGCAAGATATTGAAGTATATACTTAAGTATCCATCAATGGCATACCCAAAAATTATATCCCCATTTGTTCTGAACTCATCTTAACTCATCTTAAATCCACATGATTTTGTTGCGGTTAACTCCACCTGTTTAACTTGGGTAACTCCCCACGAAAGATTCCCCAAGTGGAAGGCTTTCTCCTTTGATTCCACGCTACCCTCTGGTAAACTAACATAGCTATGGAAAATCACCATTTTTAATAGGAAAACCCACTATAAATGACCATTATCAATAGCTATGTTAGTTTAGCAGAGGGTAAGAAAATTCCAGACATTTCTCGTGATCTGAAAAAAATCCCCACATATCCCCAGAAAATCTGTATGCAGTAAATATCTGATGGTAAATGATGTTGGTAAAAAAGCCATTGAAAAAATACATGATGTGTAAATATCTCATTGGTAAATATCTGGTAAATGATGTTGGTAAATCTCCCCACAGCCGAAAAAACACTGGGCGTCCCTGCGCACTGCTCGCAGCTCTGTCGCAGCTCCGCGCCGCGCTGGCGCAGCAGTCGCGGGGCCTGGCCGATGAAATCGATGAAAAATGGAGGGATGTCCATGGGTTTTACAACAATCAATGGATCAATGGATCAATGGATCAATGGATCAATGGATTGGTTTTGTTTGGGAAAATCATGGAAAATCTACAGTTTACAAAATCGATTTTGATCATGGGGGTAAACCTGAAAATTTCCCTCAAACTCCATTGAAACAAGGAAAGCAAAGCAATGAATCATACTGAAATGTCATTGTAACTGTATCGTATTACACCATTTTCCAGATGGATCATACTCACATCTCATTGTATAATTTTTACACTTTAACACCACGATTTATTTTTTTCGGTGAAGTAGACATTTTAAATCATGAAAAATGGAACATGTTTAGCAATGAACTGTCTGGCTAGCGGCTAGATAGTGGATGTCATGGATTTAATGATTTACAGTACTCAGGTACTCATGATATGATTGACTGATTTGTGGTGGGAAAATC